CAACCAGGTCAGAAACGCCTCAGTCCCCTCTCTACTTCGTAAGCCCACCCCAGCAAGGCCACCTGGAGCCTCCAGGTGGGCCGTTCCTGTGCCCCTCCCTCCTTCCCTGACCCACAGAATCACCCTAGCCAGTGCTGCGTGACAACCAGCAAGTCTGCCAACCTCTCTGTGCCTTGGTTTGCTCATCTGAGAAGTGGGGTGCCAGTGTTCCCTCCTGGTGGCTGTGACAGTTAGACTCATTAACATGTGGAAAGTTCTTGGTGGTCGTCCTGCGGTGGCTGCTGTTTCTACTGCAATCAAAGATTTCCTACGTGAGCCAATTAGAAAGTCGCTTTAGGCGGCGAAGTCTGGGCCTCCTGCACCTTCCGTGGCGCCAGCTGCCGTGGGGCGGGGGCAGGACGCTGGAGACTCTGCTAGTCGTCTGTCTTTTGGTTTTTCCCTGAACTGCTCCAGGCTGGTGTGTGCTCGCCAGTGTCCTGTGAGACTGGTCTTCACGGTGGGGCACTGGCTGTGAGTCGGGTTGCAGGCCCTGGGTCCAGGGAAGCTTTCTCCCAGGAGGTGGGTTTGCGGCAGCGTCCGCTCAGGGAGCCGCGGCAGGCCACAGCCCGGCAGCATGGGCAGGCAGAGCTGCTCCCACCCTCTTCTGGTGGGAATGGACCAGGCCTGGCCGTGGCCAAGTCTGCAAGGTGGTCCAGCCCCAGACTTTGCTGGGAGGACAGAGCAGCTGGACAGGCCCATCCCGTGGCACAAACTGAGGTCTGACTGCAGCTGGTGTCTGCCACGTCTCTCCTGTGGCTGCCGAGCAGCGAGCACACGGTGGATGTCCTGGGCAGCAGGTTCCAGATGCTGTCCTTGAGGGGACAGTTTCTAGCTTGGAAACCAGCACCTGGCGTGGTGTGACGTGTCCGGGGTCCTGTGGGGGGGGTTGGTGGCCACCAAGGCCCTGCTGACCCTCTCTCAGGCCCTGCTGAGTCAGGGGTTGGTGCTGGGGCCATGACCCTGCCTTGGGCATTAGTGTCCCCAGGCTCACCGTGAGAGCACCTGCGTCAGGGTGGGTGGTGACCAGCACAGTGTGGGCAGGTGAGAACATGCCCCAGGCATCCAGGTGAGGCTGGGGGTTTCTGCACTGAGGGAGGCCCTGGTCTGTGCTGGGCGGCCTAGGAGTGAGGGTCTGGGGGCCACCCGCGCTCCACTGTGTGGTGTTGACGACAGGCGACCCTGGGCCAGCCCTCCCTGGTGGCTCTGGACCCGCGATTTCTGCCAAGCCGTGCATCTGACGTGTCCCCTGTGGGTGGGCTGCTTCTCCCTCTGGGTCCTTTATTTGAAGTTCTGTAAGGGCTTGCTCCCAGATCAGGCAGAAAGCGTATTTGGAGAGAAGCGCATTGAGTCGCATGTGACACGGCACACTGTCTCACCCAATCCCACGACTCGCCCAAATTCCTGGGATAAATGTGAGAATTCTGCTAGCCAAGTCCTGTGGGCCTCAGGTGACCAAGTGGACGAGGCCGAGCCCTTCAGCACGTGGCCAGCGGGAGTGTAGAGGTCCTCACAGCCCAGCAGGCGGCAGGAATGCTGGCCGCTCTGGGCAGGCTGCCCTCCGCCCTGGTCGGCGTCCAGGAGGTGCGGCTCCTTTGAAGCCCCGGCCTCAGGCATCGCCTGGCCACATTTACCCGGGAGCCCCCTTGCCGCCTCCCTTCCTCTTTGTGTCCCCTGCCGGGTGCACTCCACCCTTGGGGACCCTCACGGGGGGCCTGCTAGAGCAGGTCTGTTCCCAGGTGGCAGTGACCTCATCCGTCTGACCTCAGCCTGGACTTGAAGAGATGCACCTGTTCCACTTGATTGACAGCAGGCAGAGGCCCTGGGAGAGGCCTCTTGCCAGAGATACAGGAGAGGAGGCCATTATCAGATCCTGGATGCCCTGTGCGGCCTGCGGCTCCCTCTCCTGCTGCCCCTGCAGGGAGCCTTCCTTCTGCTGCCCTCTGTCCATCCCCTGTGTCCCTCTGAGTGAGGCCAGGACTCCAGGCCCAGGTCACCAGTACAGCAGGGCCCAGTTTCTCCACCCAAATCCAGGGCAGCTCCTCCACAGGATCTGCCCCCAAGACGCCACCTGCCTGTGCCTGCGCGAGGCCCACCTGCCCTCAGGTGCCACCACCCCCTGTCACCTGCATGTTTTCAGCCATTGGTGGCAAAGTGAAGGGTCAGAATGCCTCTGAGTGGACAGAGTGCTGGGGGAGCTGCCCAGAGAGGCTGCCCGCCCCTGTGGCGAGGCCTGGTATCGAGGTGAGGCCAGGGCCCGGGGATGTTAGGAGGAAGGACCTGCGCTCCAGCCACTGCGCCTCGGACAAAGGAGGAGAAGAATGGACGGGAGTCGATGCCCCTCCGTGGACTCTGAGGACCCCAGGGCGGATTTGGAGCAACTTCGTTGTGTGGATCAAACCGGGCAGTGGGGTCCCTGCGGTCCTGTCTGGATTGAGCTGGTCCTGGACAGCTGAGGGCCCTGGGCCTAGAGAGGCCACAGGAGGGCAGCTTCCCAGGGGGCACCTGGAGAGCCCGGGAAGGGAGCGCTGTTAGGCCTGCTGCCCCTGGCTGGCCACCCTTGCTCCTGGCTCCTGGATGCACAGGTCACGGCCCGTGAGACAGGAGGAGGCCTGAGCTCAGCCTCCCCCCACCCTGGGCCACCCTTCTGACGGTGGCAGGGTCCTTTCTGCCGATGGTGTCTGCTGCCAGCTCACAAGAGCTCTGTGAGGCCCGTCTGCCTGATGTTTGATCAAGTGGACAGCTGGGCGGCCCGCTGCCTGCCCCAGGCTGCATGACCGTGGGAGCGTGTGCCTGGTGTGTCCACGCTGCGGTTCCATGTGCTCCTGAGCCCCCCACCCACACACTGAAGCCAGAGAAGGACCTCCACGGCCTCTCTTCACCAAATGCAGACGGCCTGTCGTCTTGAGTGGACACAGGGATCAGGACGGTGAGAGGCCATCAGTGAGCTGAAAGGAGTGCCCACCACCCTCCGGGCCCCAGAGCTGCGGCCCTCAAGCTTGAGAGCAAGGAATACGAAGGCTCCTGGTCACCCTCAGTGTCCTGATGATAGGCCAGTGATGGGGAACTTGTACGGGCCTCTGGGGATGGCAGAGTCCAGGCGTGTCCCTGTGGGTGGGTCAGGGTGTCTGAAGCCTGCTGGGTAGGAGGTGGAGAGAAGCTCGCGGAGGAGGCGCCTTGCTGGACTGAGGTCATGAGGCCACCCAGGGCCAGGACTCCTCTCAGAGTGCAGCCACCCCAGGAACTTGGCAGAACTCGGTGGGCAAGAAGCCCCGTGCCATCCCTCAATGGCACCAGACACAGGCAGCCTGTCCCCAGTCCACAGGAAGACCCCTGCCAGGGGGCACTTGGGTCCTGGGAGCTGGCACAGCGAGGCCCAGGCTGTTCTCAGGAGGGCCTGCGCTTGCTTGTCTGGGCAGCTGCTGTCCAGTCCAGAGTGAGGCCCCAGGGTTGCTGCAGAGAGATCCACGAGGGCAGCTTCCCTCGGAGTCTCCTTCCTTGGGGCTGGACACACTCTAGAAGTCGGACTGTGGTGGGGTCTCTACGAGGGCCGTATGTTCCCGGACCTGCCAGCCGGAGCCCCAGGGCTCGTCACACCTTGGCGTCCCTCTTCCCGGGCGGTCGTGCCCAGAGCTGCTCACAGCTGCAGGAAGACCTGGCCCCTGGGGCTTGCGTTTCCACATCTGGATCCGCCCTGGGCAGAACCAGGTCCAGGATCGCATGATTCCCACAGAGCACCTGCAGGACCCGCCCCGGCGGCCCGGCCAGTGGCCCCACACAGGCACCCCAAGGCCACAGAGCACCTCTCCAGGAATCTTTTAGACACCAGCCTCCGTGCAGTGACGGTTTCTAGCCCTGTTTCCCCAGAGAAGGAAGCCACTGCTCTGCCGCCCGCTGGGGAACAGGCTCCGCGCCCCGAGCCCTCCCTCGAGGCCCAGCCGGTGGCTGTGGCGGCCTCGTCTCCTCGAGTGCCGCCCTGTGCTCCCAAGGCCAAGAGGCTGCGAGGCCTCCTCCCAGTGCCAGGCCAGCGGCTGGAGTTACGGAGGGACGCCATAGTCTGGGGCTGGACCTGCATATGACCTCAGTGGTTTGCAAGGCCAGGGGGCAGGATGGGACCAGTGCTGCCCAGATGGCACCTGCCCCCACCCCCGTTTCTGGCCTGGCCTCCAGGGGCGGAAGTGACGGCTTTGTGGTGCTGGTGGAGCCCAGGCCTTGTGCTAGGCTAGCGCTCTGCCCCTGCCCCTCACCCCAGCCCAGAGGTGCCCCCCGTGTGTCATCAGAGAAGCAGCATTAACGCCCCGTCTGGATGCCTCTGTGGAAAGGAGCACCCCAGCCCTGGCTCGGGAGGGTCTGCAGTTGGCCTGAAGGCAAATCCCCCAGGCACTGTCCAGCCAGGGCCCTCCCTGCTGCCTCAACAGGGTCTCCCTTCCCCTGCGAGTCTCCCTGGAACCTCTTGCTCTTGGTTGATGGGCTCTGGTGTGGCTGGACATGCTGCCCGCGCATCCCCAGACCTGATCGCAGCAGACAGGCCAGCGCCCTGGGCCCTGCGTCCTTGCTGAGGGGGGCCGGCCTGTTGCTGCCGCCCTGCCCCCCAGGACCAGGCACACAGCAGGCTGCCAAGCAGGAAGGACCCAGAGCACCTGGGGTGGCAGGTGGTGGCTGGGCAGCCTGTTGCCGCACAGGCACAGGAGGCCCCAGCTGTCGGGCCCTGCCAGCACGCAGGTGGGCGGAGACCAGGGGATTTGTTTACCTGTGAGTCAGGCCCCGCCCTGGTGTCCTGGCCAACGCCCCTCGGCCTCCTCCCCGCCTGGCCCTCCCTGTGCCTCTCTGCCTCTTGTGCACCTTTGAAACAGAGGGCGACTCGCCAGCCTTTCTCCTCCCCGGGAGTGTGCGGCAGGGGCTGGCCGGCAGGACCCTGGGGCGCGGGCAGGGCTTCCTCCAGTGACCGTGTCTCTCTCCCTCAGATGAGATCATGCACCAGGACATCGTGCCGCTCTGCGCTGCGGACATCCAAGAGCAGCTCAAGAGGCGCTTCGCTTACCTGTCAGGTGAGTGCAGGAGCCAGGGCTGTGCCGCGGGCTCCTGGGCCCTGGCGCTGGCTCCGCGGGTTGGAACTGGTCGTGGTGCCAGGGACCTTCAGCCTGCGCCGGTTCCACTGTGATGGGAGGTGGGCAGCTGTGTAGGGTCTGTTCTCTGTGGCCTGTAACCCAACGCCTGAGGCGGGGCATTCAGGAAGAAAAGAGGCTCCTTTCGGCTCTGTGTTCTGGAGGTGCGAGGTCCGGTCACCGCTGGTGATGGCCCTGCTGGCAGAGCCCCGAGGCACCCCGGGGGTCACAGGGTGACCTGGAGCCCGTATCGGCCATCCGTGTCTGGGCTCTCCCTCTTCCTGACCACGGACTCCACCCTGACCCTCCCAAAGGCCCAGCTTTCTCCTCTTCACACCTCACAGTGGGACTAAACCCCAACTCGAAGCCTCAGGGGACAATGAAACCAGATCCAACCAGAGCCATCGGTGCCTGGAAGTGCTCGGGGACTCAGGCCTCCTGCCACCTGGGCCTTCCGGTGACGCGGCCCAACAGGTGGACAGATGGTCGCTCGGCAGGTGGGTGTGCTGTCCTCAGCCACCTGCTGCCCCTCAGCCTCCACGTTAGCCAGCAGTGACCTCTGCCCTGGCCAAGCAGCAGCCTAGGGGACATGGCCACCTCCATCCAGCAAGCCAGCACTCACCCAGCCTCATGATGATGCTCCTGCAGCCAGGCTCCAGAGACCTGCAGGTGCAAGAGCACCCGCAGTGGGGACACTGCCCTTTGGCCTGGACAGTCCCTCTGCCCAGACCAATTCAGAACAATGGTGCCTGACATCAGCTCTCCTTGTGCCACCAGCTGGGGTCCTGCCCGAGAGTGAGGAGCTTCCAGGGCTTGTACCCCGACTCAGCCACGGGGGTCTTTGTGTACCCCAGGACCAGCCCTAGCCCCACTTCCTTGACTCACTGGCCCGTCCCTACGGCCAGGCTTTGCAGTGCTGCCTCAGACACGGGGCCCAGGGAGCCTGTGGTGGCCAGCAACATGGCGGAGGGCAGCACGGAGCCTCCGAGGAGATCAGTGGTGCACAAGGCTGGTCACTGCTCCCAGTGAGAAGTGGGGGCCTGTTGAAGGGTGGGGCCCCAACAGGATGGGCCCTGGTGCAGGGCCAAGCAGTAGAGGCTCGTAAGTTGCGTGGCCCCCTTTCTCCACCCAGTCAGGACCCAGGAAGGTCCCAGACAGATGTGGCCACCCCAGCCTGGACTGCTGGCTTGACTTTGAACATGAGCTTCGACGCCCCCATAGGGTGGTCTTGGTGCCTGGGGAGGCTGGGTCCTGGGAGGCCCCACTGCATGTCACACAGCTCCCCAGAGTTCAGCACCAGCCAGGGCCCGAGGTGCCTAGGCAGATGAAATCAAGGTCCCCGTTCTTGGTGTGCCTGACCTGGTCAGCTGAGCCCTGAGGACCAGGCTTCTCCTGGAACAAGGGATTCCACAGCAGGATTCACACAGGGGAGATCCTCTGTCTGTCTGTGAAGGTCAAGGAGGCCGCTTGGAGAAGACACATTGGTCCCTGGGAGCTGAGACCAGCCCCATGGCCACCAGCAAGAACAGGGACCCTTGGTCCCCCAGCCATAAGGACCTGAAGACTCCTGTCACCCGAGGGAGCCTGGAAGAGGCCCCAAACTTGGATGAAATACAGCCTAGCTGACCTCTCCGTGTGGCCCCTGAGACCCTGAAGAAGGCCCTGCCAAGGGAGTCCAGCAACTTTGAGCTGATGAGCTGTAGCATTTCAAATTGTGGGGTTTGTGGGAATTTGTTACAAGAGGAACCCATCTCTGCAGCAGCGTGTCTGTTGTTGGTACTAGGGATGGAACCCAGGTCCCTCTGGTCCAAAAGGTTTTCTTCTTTGCTGTTCTGGGGGTTGAAGCCAGGCCCTCATGCATGCACCCCCAGCCCGTAACGTCTACTTTGAGGCAGGGTCTCCCTGCGCTGCCAGGCTGGCCTGGAACGTGCAGCCCTCCTGCCTCGGCCTCCTGAAATTAAGGTCCCCGTTCTTGGTGTGCCTGACCTGGTCAGCTGAGCCCTGAGGACCAGGCTTCTCCTGGAACAAGGGATTCCACCAGCAGGATTCACACAGGGGAGGTCCTCTGAATCTGCAGTTAAGTGTCTAGTGCTGTCCCTGCCCCGCCCCCATGTAGGCCACCTGGGTCTTCATCCCCTTAACCGTCACTGTGGGCGTCCCCTCCTGTGGTTCCCACGCCCATTCATAGGAAATCCGGGCGTGTCGCCTGACGGTCACGGCCGAGCCACGTCTGTCCTGGACCAGGCCCACCCATGGCAGGCCTCCCTCTTCTGCCCTTCCAGGGTGTGGTCTGGCTGCCCACACCGTACCGTCCAGTCATCTGGGGTTGGAAATATGGCAGAAATGAAACTAAATCACCGTCTGCTAGACATCTAGAGCTCCCGGGGTAGGATTCTGTACTTTGTGTTTCTCCTCTGCTGTGGATCGGAAATTGGGTTTGAAATTCGCTCACAGTATCAGCCACACAAGTCGGTCTCCTTAAAAGCTGTCCCCTGCAGACCCTGCCCTTGAGCCGCAGGTCAGCACCCCCAACAGCTCAGCCGCCCTTGGAGGCCTTCTGTGGGAGGGGATCGCTCCACCCCACGCCCCAGGCTGGTGGGCCTCCTGCAGCACACCTGTCTCTGGGCTGGAGCGCTGCCGCCCCGCGGGGGGTCTTTGCTGGGAGTCGCTGTTCACGGCTCTTCCCCGTGTTCACAAGCCCCCTCCCGCTCCCTCTTTGCCTAGTGATCTAGGTTTTCGTGGAGCTGGGCTGAAGTGCTCAGCTGTGCTGAGGGCTCCCGGGAGGCCCCGGGTTCCACCCACCCTGCAGCAGACCCTCAATCCTTTAGGGGTTCACAGCAAGCACAGACCCCACTGCTGACACCCAAGTCATCCAGGGGTGCATCCCTCCTCTTGGGGACCCAAGTCGACAGAGGCGACTCCGGTGGCTGGGGAGCCAGCTGCCTGCAGAGACTCGGATCAGTGCAAGTGGGCTGCCGCCTTGCTCTGGGTCTGAGTGGGGAAGAGCATCTTGGGGAAGGGGTGTGGGGCAGGAAAGCGGCTCACTGAGAGAGACGAGAAACACCTTCCAGGAAACCTCCTGCACTGCCCACCTCCCACTACGCGGGACCAACCACTGGTGGGGTCACAGCTGCAGGTCCCACTACCCCCCCGCAGCCCCTGTGAACCTGCTGCACAGGCCCAGGCCTTCACACTGGAGCCTGTAGGGGGCACTCCAGGTCAGCCCGAGCCCGGCCAGGGAGCCAGACTTCTTCCTTCCCGCCGCCGGCCGAGACACTGCGTCAGACTCCCACCTCCAGCACTGAGAGAGACCAGCTGCAGGTGAAGGATTTCTGTTACAGCAGCCCAAAGAGACAGAGTGCAGAAGCCCTCCTCTGGGCGTGAGTCCCCCGCGGGGAGTGTTCCTGAGCTTCGGATGCCTCTGTGCCCGCCGTGTGCCCGCCGGTGTCCGCCATGAGACCAGGTCTCCTGTCTTGCTGGAGACCCTCCCAGCCGTTGGCAACCCCGAGGCAGGTGTGAGGGGAGTGGATCTCGCGGATGTTCCTGAGCACCTGCTGGAGGGCATGGTAGATTTTCAGAGGTAAAGAGAACAGGCAGAGCCACATTTGGGCCGCTGCCCTGCGGAGCCGTCTCTGAAGAGTGAGGATGGCAGCACACACCCAGGTCTCTGCTGGGCTGGCGTCCACAGTCATCCAGGTTCCTGAGCGAGCCGCCCGGCGCCCAGACCCCTGAGGCCCGCTCCTCGGAGCCTCTCGCCACGGAGGGTGTGAGTGCGCGAGGGCCTGTCCCGCCCTGCTGGATGCGCCTGCAGACGGGTGGCTGGACAACAGAAGCTTGCCCCTGGGGCTTCTGGAGACTGGAAGGGCGGGCCCCGGCCCGGCACCGGGCAGCTGTGTTCTGCTGAGGGCCCACGTCCTAGCCTGCACCCTGCTCACTGTGGCCTTGTGGGATGGACAGTGAGCCAGAGCAGCCTGTAAGGGGAGAGACTGCAGCTCCCCTGCAGGGCCCCGTCCTCGTCACCACAGCCTCCCAAAGGGCCACCTCGTATCATCAGCCTGGGGTCGGCCCCGAGAGCCTGCAGAGCACAGGCCTGTCACCCACAATGGCCTGAGTGCAGGAGGGCGTGCAGGAATGACGGGTGTGCCCAGGGACAGGGTCACCTGCCCGAGGCTCGCTGCCGGTGGCCAGGCTTGTGCTGGACCCAGGCACCTAACACCAGCCTCCCTCCTGGCCCACCCGGGAGAACAGCTTTCCCTCCCGCAGGGCTGTTACTGCGTCTGCACCTCTCACAGGTGGGCCCTTCCAGAGGCCAGAGCTACCCGGCGGGAGAGGCCGGCCAGGAATGAAAACAGAAAGCACCCTCGAGTTGAACCGAGGACGTGCCTCCGCAGGGGAGCCCGTTCCCTGCTGTCAGGGGAGGTGGGTTTCAGCCACCTCTGCCACCAGAAAGTGGGTGTGGGCTCCCGGGACAGGGCACCAGGGGTGGTGTGTAGGTGTGCCGAGCCCCGTCTGGAGGGTGGCTGCAGATGACGGGGCCCTGACACCCGTGGGCAGCTCTTGCTTCAGCCACACAGGAGGGACCTCTGTGCCCCTCTGGGCTGCCTGCCCAGGGTCCCAGCTCTCCTGTGGCCTGTATCTCAGAACTGGTGGCCAGGCCCTGACTCCCAGTTGGAGCCCAGTGTCTACCTGCCACTCACCTGGAGGTCCCCGAGCTCCGGGGCTGGCTTTCTGAATCACGTGGAAAGACCTAGAAAGACCACAGCTTCCACTCTCGCCTCAGTAAGGAGCAGGGGCTTCACTTCCCATCAAAGCTGAGACTGTGGTCCAAAGCTACGTCGGTTTCCAAGAGACCCTGGCCCATCGAGATGGGGTCAGCTCTGTCGGGCAGCTGATCTGGCCTGCAACCCTGAGTGAAGAACCTAAGACAGCCAAGCGCGGTCTTTCACAGAGGGAGAGGAGGCCAGCCTGGGAAGTGCCCACCTGGCCTGCAGCTCCCAGTGGCCTGTGGGGGAGCACAGCCCTAGAGGCTCCCAGCAGGACGGAGCTGCTGCTCCCTCACGGGGAGCCTGGGCCCAGCCAGTCGCATTGGGCCTTTGCAACTTCAGGTGGAGTGACGAGCATGGCCCACCCTCACCTGCACCCAGGTGAAGGCCAGCACGGAAGACAGACAGAGGGACTTGAAATTTGTCACCACCCAGCACTCGGACACCAGCCCTGCAGGAGCTGCCCACCACACAGAAAGTCTGTTCCCTTAAAGGGTCGGCTCAGGGCCCTGCCACCCCTGTGTCCAGCTGTGCAGAGCGGGGCCTCAGTGCAGTGTGGGATTCCGAGCCGGTGGAGGCCAGAGTCCCCTCCCACTGTCCTCGGCTCTCCCACAGACATGGAGGCCTGTCCGTTCCTGCAGCTTCCCACCCAGTCCCACTTGCAGGACAGCAAAGGGCAGGTGTGGGCCAGACGCCCTGGGACCCGGGACTCACCTTGGTCCAGAGCACTCCTTCCTAACCGGGAAGTCGCCGCCACCGCCTGATGGTCGTGGTGCTGTGTGGTCATCCTCCTCTGCAGGAGCTGGCCCTGAGGAGGTCTCGGTGCCTCGGACCAGGGTCTCAGCGTCGCAGGCTCTCAGCCCGCAGCGAGAGGGAGTGAGAACCTGAGAGTGTCGGGAGAGGGCTGGGCCGCTCCGCCAGGCCGTGGGTGCCCTGTGGCCTGGGGACAGGCAGGGAGCTGAGTGCCTTGGGTGTGCTGAGTGGCGAGGGCGGGGGGGGGGCTGGCGGCTTGGACCCTCCAGGTTCAAGCTGCAGGGCTGAGCTGCGGGGAGGCCTTGCTCCCATTGGTTGGACGCTGGGCTCAGCCCTCTGGGCGGTGACAGGGCAGCACCCGGGCCCCATACAAGGGCGTTCATGGTCAAGGCAGGAAGGCCTGGGCCGAAGTTGTAGAGGGACCATGTCCTGCTGAGGGCAAGGCTGCTGTGCTGAGGACACTCGAGGGGCACTGACACATGGCCGCAGAGACCTGTGGGGATGAGAGGCCCAGAGGCCAGGAAAGGAGGCCTCCAGGCCCCGCACGGCGGCGTCCGTGAGGGTGTGGGGGCAGGGTTGGCAGGGATGAGGATGGTGATAGACACCACTGTCCATCTCTCCCTGCCGCACGTGCCCTGGAGTGCCACATGGACAGGTCACTGTGTCTCCAGGTGGGGACATGGTGGTGGCGGCATGCCTGGTTCTCATGAGAGCAGAGCTCTCCCAACCCAGCCTGAGCAGTCCCATGCCCGCCTGCTTGTGGGGTGACCACTGGAACATCCTTGGCCATCAGGATGGGCCGAGCTGTGCTGGCCAGGGCACTCACTGGGCTTCGCCCACTGCCCTGGGCCTGGCTCGCACACGGGCTCTTCCCTGTCCTTCCTCGCAGCCCTCCCTCCCAGGGTGCCTCCTCACAGCATGTGGCCCAGGCTGCTGCCTGTTCCTTGAGTCCTGAGAGAGGGGGTGGCGCTGGCTCGGGGTCACACAGCATGACTTCTGCCTGTCCTGTGGGCCAAGCTCGACCCCCAAGGACTGTGGCCCCCGTGGTGGAACCCCACCTCCATGGCAGCAGCCACAGGTGGACACGACGTTCACATGCGGTAGAGCCTCCCCACTGAATTGCTGAAACTCTGAACAGGAGAGAAGCTACTGATGCCACAGCCCAACAGTCAGAAAGTCCCTGGGACACACCTGGTGTGTGTCATGTGACTGCTGGGCCTGCAGAGCTGTGGGCTCTGCGTTTGGAAAAACAGGTACAAACACACCCATTCAAGTGAGACAACTGGCAGGACAGGCCAGAGGACGTGGCAGGGATGTTCCAGTGGTCACCCCAGCAGAAAATAGTGCACATCTGCTTTAGTGCATCTGCTTCTCTGTGCCTTCTGCCTTTGGTCCCCCGTGCCATCTGCATGTCTTTGACACTGAGAAGAGCAGCCGGCCGTTCACCCAAGAGGGTACTTGAGACGGGGCACTCTGCAGGGGCTGGGGGCTGGTGGGGAGGGCTGGGCAGCCCAGGCCCTGCTGAGTACCTGCCTTTGGTCTCTCCCCAGGTGGGCGGGGACAGGACGGAAGTCCAGTCATCACCTTCCCCGACTACCCGGCCTTCAGCGAGATCCCGGACAAGGAGTTCCAGAGTGTCATGACCTACCTCACCAGCATCCCCAGGTGCGTGCTCAAGGCCAGGCCTGCTCTTGGTGAGGTCGGCCCTCTTGTTCCACCCCAGGAGGTGAGGAAGGGTCAGCGTCCCTGCAAGGATGACCCTGTTGTCGAGACCCCTGTCGACTCTGAGAGGGGAGAGAGCTTTGTCAGGGAAGGGGTCCGGAGGGTTTAGGGTCTCCACTGAGGCCTGGCAGGTCAGGGCAGTGGTCGCTACCCCAGGGCCACTGTCCTTTGCACAGGATCCCCTTGGAGGACAGTTGTCCAAAGTCAGGGCAGGCACCAGACCCCGGCCAAGGGCAATGGGCATCTCCAGGGCCTCAGGCAGACTGTGGACATCGTCAGCTGTTGCCTGTCGGAACAGTGGACCCCGTGCTGGATGACCCTAGGGGTCCCCTGGACAGGACGATGTGCTCCTCCCTTGTGAAGCAGATGCTGGGGGGCGCTCAGCCCATGGGCAAGAGTGCACCCTTCGCTCTGCTGTCTCTGAAGTCAGTGGTCCCAGCCCAGGAGCCAGGCCAGGCTGGGGCGGGAGGATCAAGGTCAAGGCCAGCCTCAGCAACTCAGGGAGACCCTGTCTCAAAATCAGAAATAAAAGGCTGGGGGTGTGGCTCGGTGGTAATGCACCCCTGGGTTCAGACCCCGGTACCAAAAAACAGTACCTGCCTTTGTGGTCCGGTGCTGGTCGCCGGGAGCTCGGGATTCAGCGGGATCCGTCCTGACCTGGGTCCTGAAGGTCGTGGGCGGGGTGGCGAGCAGTGGCTTCTCCCTGTGGCCAGTAGAGGGAGGAGCCCCTGGGGCAGGGAGTCAGGCTGCCCCGTCCCCTGGATTTGACCTTGGCCCTTTCCTTGCTGGACCTGCCCCGGCCAGGCTCCGTCTCCGTCGCCCTGGGGCTGAGCGTTTCCTCACAGTTTTCTAATCCTGACAATGATGCCCCCTGTGCCCAGCCACCAGGCCCGCGGGCGACTGTGGCACCCGGGAACGGGGGCACAGGCCGTGGTGCAGGAGGAGGGCAAGAGCACACACACACAGGCCGAGGCCCGCACCAGCCCGGCGTGCAGCTGCCCGGGCCGCTGCTCGGATGTCACCCGTCCCCAGAGCCTCGCTTCCCAGGCCACCCTGGGAGTCTTCCTGGCTTCCTCTCCTGCTGTGACACAGCACTTGTCCTGAGATGCTCCAGGGTGGACCCTGACTCTGCCTCTGTGTACGGGGTCCAGAGCCTGCCAGGTCCCGGCCACCCACCGCACCTCCCTCAGGGGTCTCGGAGCCCCTGGATGGAGACACGCCTCGGCCTCTCTGCTGTGACATTCCTGCTCCTGCTGCCCAGCCCAGCTGGCAGCTCCTCAGGCCTGTGGCTGGCAAGGACTGGGCTGCGTCCAGCCAAGGCGGTCTGCTGTCGGCACTGTCCCAATAACAGGTGGAGTGAGCACCTCCTGGCCTGCAGGGCTGGGGAGCAGGTGCAGGCCTTCCGCGGATGTTTGCAGGACACACGACTTCAGACAGCAGCGCACGCAGAGCCAGCCTCCAACAGGGCCTCCTGGCCTCACCCCACACGACTGACCCAAGCACTGTCTCCAAGTCCGATCCTTCAGCCTCAGTCAGCCCCCTCCCCAACTCTTTTCACACACCTGGTCCCCAGGGGACAGGCCAGCATCCAAGTGCTGAGCGCAGCTTCCAAGAAACTGGCCAGGGGCTGAAATCCAGGGGACACATAAGCAGGGCTCACTCCCTGAGGGTGTGTGGGGTGCTTGTGTGGGTTTGTGTGTGGGATGCAGTGTGAATGTGTGGGGTACAATTGTGTGAGTGTGATTGTGCAGTCCACAACGTGAGGAGCATTGTGTGGTGGCTGCCAGGTGTGAGTTCGCGTGTGGGAGTTTGTGTGCATTCTTGGGGTTCCTACGTGAGGTATGTTTAAGCTTCATGGGGTGTATGAGTATGTGGACCAGGGTTCCCAAGACACCGAGACAAGGTGTGGGGCAGGTGTGGTGCGCTACAGGTGGACCAGGGTCCCCGTGCCCCTGAGAGCTAGGTGTGGGG